AAGGGCAATGCCAAGGAATGTTCAAACTATCGCACAATTGCACTCATATCACACGCTAGCAAGGTCATGCTCAAGATCCTACAAGCTAGGCTTCAACAGTACGTGGATAGAGAACTACCAGAAGTACAAGCTGGGTTTCGAAGAGGTAGAGGAACGAGAGATCATATTGCCAACATTCGCTGGATTATGGAGAAAGCAAGAGAGTACCAGAAAAATATCTACTTCTGCTTCATTGACTATGCTAAAGCCTTTGACTGTGTGGATCACAACAAACTATGGCAGGTCCTTAAAGAGATGGGAGTACCAGACCACCTCACATGTCTCTTGAGAAACCTGTATAAGGGCCAAGAAGCGACAGTTAGAACCGGATACGGAACAACTGATTGGTTCAGCATAGGAAAAGGAGTACGACAAGGATGTATACTGTCACCTTGCTTATTTAATATATATGCAGAGTACATCATGCGAAATGCTGGCCTGGATGAATCACAAGCGGGAATTAAGATTGCTGGGGAAAAGATCAACAACCTCAGATATGCAGATGATACCACTCTAATGGCTGAAAGTGAAGAGGATCTAAAGAGCCTCTTGCTCAGAGTAAAAGAGGAGAGCGCAAAAGTGGGCTTGAAGCTCAACATCAAAAAAACTAAGATCATGGCATCCGGCCCCATCACTCCTTGGCAAATAGAAGGGGAAGTCGTGGAAGTAGTGACAGACTTCACGTTCCTGGGATCCCAGATCACCGCAGACTGTGACAGCAGCCATGAAATTAAAAGATGCCTGCTCCTTGGGAGGAAAGCGATGGCGAACCTAAACAGCATGATAAAAAGTAGAGACATCACCCTGCCAACAAAAGTCCGCATGGTCAAAGCAATGGTATTCCCAGTAGTCATGTATGGCTGTGAGAGTTGGACTATAAGGAAGGCCGAGCGCCGAAGAATAGATTCTTTTGAACTATGGTGCTGGAGGAGACTCTTGAGAGTCCCTTGGACTGCAAGAATTACAAATCAGTCAGTCCTCAAAGAAATCAACCCTGACTGTTCCCTGGAAGGCCAGATAATGAAACTGAAGCTCAAATACTTTGGCCACCAAATGAGAAGGGAGCACTCACTGGAGAAGACCCTGATGCTGGGAAAGATTGAAGGTCAAAGAAGACGGGGACGGCAAAGGATGAGATGGTTAGACAGTGTCATCGATGCAACGAACATGAAGTTGAGCAAACTTAAGAGGATGGCGGAAGACCGGAGGGCCTGGAGGGAGCTGGTCCATGGGGTCGCAAAGAGTCGGACTCGACTGTGCGACTGAACAACAAAAAAGGCGGAAGGACTTTGCAAATTGCCTTTATGAAGCGAGCTGGAGGAGATGCTCGGGAAATCTTCTCATAACAAGTAGCAATCTAACATATAAAGCTTAGAAAGACAGGACCTCACAAAGTATATTGTTTATTAACAGCCTTTTTTTTTACTAACAGCATTTTAACAGGGAATGATCTCCTAACCTTGGGTTTTTAGCTTAGTCTGGGTTATCTTTTCTTTCTCCCTAAGTGTAGTCCCCCTATCCCTATTTTTTCTTGGTAGCTTATGTAGTATTATAAAAAAAATAAAAAATCCCCTCTGGGGGCTTAAAAAAATAAAAATAAATGGACTGTTCGATGAAATCCTATCGAAGCGGTGAAGAGTTTCAGATACCTTGGTATACACTTCCATTACAATGCTAACTGGGTCTCCCACACTAAGGAGGCTGTAAAATCAGTGAATAGCAGTGAACTTGCAATTTCCCGCTTTTATTATATGAAAGGAAATCCATTTATTATTGCTGTTCTCAAGGTGTTTAATCACAAAATATGTGCTAAACTACTCTATGGTGCCCCAATTTGGATCTCTGCTTTTAATAAAACGGTTGAAAGTGTTCAATCCAAATTTCTTAGAAAAATTCTAGGGCTCCCAACTTGCGTACCTTATGCAGCAATATACCTTGAGACAAACCAGAGACAGTAACTAAAGCATGGCTCTCAACATTTAAATTTTGGCTGCGCCTCCTCTATAGAAGTGAGCCTAATAGTCTCATCGCTTATATGCTATGCAAATCTCACCTATCAGAGTGGTTGACATGTGTTGAAGGGAAAATTACACTGACAGGGCTCAGCATGGATGATTTGATCCTTCTTTCGGACAAGTACGCTTTTGGCATGATTAAGCAGCGATTGATTGATATAGAAACGCAAGAACTTAGAAGCCTTGCTACTGGGCATTGCTCTCCCATTTATTGGGGGATTATGAGCCGCTGCCAGAGTATTTTTCCTGTCTGATTGATCCCTATATTAGAAGGGTATTCACACTGGCCCGTTTTAATGTGCCCCCTCAGCTGTGTTATATGGGAGATTTAAAAAAATACCACTCCCAGATAGGTTATGTCCCTGTGGGCTAAAGGAGTTTGAAGGAACGGACCATGTACTTCTGACTTGTAGATTTTACCAGGATTTGCGTGCTTATCACCTCGGCCCTATACTGCAAACCCTGGAGGGCAAATCTGAGGAAAGTAAGATAATGAACCTTCTAGCCTCAAACAGGGCTGATACCGTCAAAGAGTTGGCAAACTTCCTTTACAGAGCGTATAGGAGGAGAAGTTCTTTTTCGGCAGAAGGGGTAGTGAATTAACTGTTTTGTGGGCCTACCGCCTCTGTACCTAAGGCTGATGCTGTTGCTATGCCAATAAAGGTTTGTTGTGTTGTGATTCACAAAGCCATTTTGCTTGGCACCCAGGGTCAGATCTCTGCCCAAGCCAATGAGTTATGGGCAGCACTTGATGGGCCAGCACTATGTGAGGAGACAGCAGGCATGACTTATGCCGGTCATCTCCTCCCAGACCCATGCAGCTCAAGCCCTGAAAAGCTTGCTTCAAGACTGCCTCTAAGGACAACCCTCATCCCCCCCCCCCCGTTGTTTGGTGACACACATCTTCAGAGATGCCACTTGGGCCAAAATAGGTTGCCAACCCATCATCTCAAAAGATCAGGCCAGGGTTCTTCAGCTCCATGTGTAGCTATAGCAGGACTGTAGTTCAGCCCTCTGTGTCCTAATGTGCACCCTGGCACAGGTGAATTTCTCTCTCTGTGATCTTGGTTTGACTTAATATTGCCTTCAGTTTGTTCTGAACCAATAAAAGTATGTCATTCTTTGTTAGTAATACAAGGACACAAGTGTTAAAGGGCCATAGAGAAATCATACCCGAATAGCGAATTTAAATGTTCTTTTGCCTATAACTTATAGGGCAGTGACGATTACTCAGTTGCTCAGGAGCCGCCTGTGGCTCTTCTAAGCACTGTTTCCCAGTGTGGTGCCTGACCCATGTTTCAGGAAACTGGGCACTGACCAGTGGGGGCTTGGGATTGGCAGCTGGTTTGCCCCTTCAAGCAGCTGCCACCAGAAGGACTAGAGGGCAGGGAAGCTGCAAGTCTGACCGGCCTGCAGGTTTTGTGCCACAGAGGGAAGGGCTCATCCTCTCCAACAACCACCCAACCCTTCTTCACAATTTTTTGCACACTCATCCCAGTCCCTGCCGGGAGGACAGCAAGATGGCTACAGTGAAGAGAGAGAGAGTAAAACCACCACCATGGCAGCAAGCCACCTGGGAAAAGAGCAAGCTGGCCACAGTGGGCTGGGCAGTAGTGGTTTTTGCTCTCCTTTCTCCCCAGCCAGCAGGCCCTCTTCCAGGTGCCTTGGCAGTTTAACTTGCTTTCATGATCTGCTGTGCTTCATGCGGAGGAGGAGAGCAGGAGGGCAGAGAGGGAAGCCCTTCCTCTTCAGACCCACAAGGGCTGGCTAAGGTTCCACAGTTTGAAACGGAGATGAGCACCTCAACCCTAGAGTCGGATTTGACTGGCTTTCGAGCAAGGGAAACCTTTACCTTTTTAAACACAGCTAGTACAGCACTGAACATCAGTTAATCCAGTGTACTACCTGGGCCTGTGAATGCTCAGGCCTCAGAGCTCTCTCTTCAGGCAGAGAAGGCCTGAGTATAGCAGTCTAAGCAGTTAGCTCACGTTACGAATTCTCTGGATTGGTTTGATATACATATGAAGAACCTGGCTTCAAGCTCTGGCCCAGTTAACAGAGCCTGTCTACATATCAGGCTCTTGTTTCAGCAACTGGCCAGAGATCCTCATGGGAAATATCTAGATAAGTACAGCTGCCCCTGGCCTTGCTTTGACAATAAGAATTCATGAGTCTCCTTTAAGTTCAGCAATTGTAAATGTACCCCCAAGCCAGTAGTTCCTCTAATTCTGACATAAATTGATGGGAGATTGAACAGCCCCCCCCCAATTTGAAGTGACCAAGCATCTAACTAATTAGCTGTGTAAAAGGAGTACACAGCACCATCACCAGAAAGCACAGAGGCTTTCTGAGCATTGGATGTCTTTCATGCAGATTCCCGCCCCCTTAAAAATCACGTGGAAATAAATCCTATGAAGAAGAGGAAGAAGAGATTGGATTTATATCCCGCCCTTCACTACCCAAGGGAGTCTCAGAGCGGCTTACAAACTCCTTTCCCTTCCCCTCCCCACAACAAACACCCTGTGAGGTAGATGGGGCTAAGAGAGCTCTGAGAGAAACTGCTCTTTTTCAAGAACAGCTGTGCCAGAACTATGGCTTGCCCAAGGTCATCCAGCCAGGTGCATGTGGAGGAGTGGGGAATCAAACCTGGTTCTCCCAGATGGCTTATCTAGGGATAAAGCTAAGAACTTAAATTTCACAGGGTATTTAGGATTAGAGTTAAGGCATCAAGCTGCAGTCCTATGCAGGTTTGAGCACCCTTCAGCCTACCATTTTTTATAAGCTGAGGTAAAATACTGGACTGTTAACAATCCTGCAGAAACATTCAGTTCACAGGTGACTTTTCTAAAACCAGGCTAGGAGGCGCTAACTGTACCACAACCCTCTTTGCATGTGACCTCTTCTAAGGGTATCAGAAATAATGAGAACCACAAACATAACCTCTGTAATATTCATTTTATTAGCAGCTTATCATGTAGCAAGACCTGATTCCACAGTATCAGCTATTTAGAATTGCTAGCACTTACCCACCTTTGTCTATACGCTCCCTCCTACCAAAACATTCGATGGCTTATCTAGGGATAAAGCTAAGGCACAGATCAACAAAACATAATAGTAAAAACTTCTATCCCAAGCAGGGACTCTATAGCTCAGATTCAACTATGTATAAACAAAGCAGCATCTCCTCAAAGCTTCTGGGCAATTTTGCCACAATGCTGAGTTGCCTATTAGTATCAGACAGGAGGCACAGAGCAGCAATATGGCTTTAGTAGATTAAATAATAAAGAACACAAATATTTTACTTAGTTCCTCTTCAAAACTCACAGCAGGGTTATGAGTGGCAAGTGAAGTACCTGTGCTTGAGTGAGCAGGTAAAACAAAAAAGTGCTTTCCTTTTTGCCTGAAGGCAAAGCAACACCAAGCCCCTCACTCCCAGAGCAGAGCTCATTTGATGGCCGGCTTCTCCCTTTCCTAGCAACACTGGTTGGTGTAGGAAGAAGCCACGGCTGCACAGCTTCAGCATAAAACACATAAATCAGGGCCCTAAAAAGAAATCTCAGCAGCATCCCCTGTGATTTTTTTCCCCTTCTGCAATAATCTCAACATTCATACTAATGGGATCTTCAGTCTTTCATTCCCAAAGCAGTCCAGTGCTATTGGCAGGGCCAACGTCACAGAGACTACTACGAGGGCGCCTTCCTATCTCATGCTTTTAATGTGTGCCTGTACACAACTAAACAACAAAAAAAGGTGAATGTTTGTATTTTGTACTAGTTCAAGCAGTCTGGAGAATGGACCCTGCTCCTTATCTCCATCAAAAGTTTTTACTGCCATAAAATGTCTGAAAAAAGTTCTAACAGAACAAACCCACTTAAATCACATAGCAACAACAACCTAAAAGGGTTCCGATTGTGTATGGAACAGGTCCAAACAGATACAACATTATTATGCAAGACCACTGTAATGACAGTTGCTCTTAAGGATACATTTAGGCCTTGCCATCAACAGCTGCAGCTGGTCAGGCAAACAGATCAACGGGGGATTGCCTCTTTAAAGATTTTATCACGTAAGTAGGAGGGCGGGAGAATTAGGTTATGGGCTGAGCTCTCTTTATTCTTGAGGTTTTCCAGAAAGATAAAACTCTTCCTAACTGAAAACTGTACATGCAGAGAGAATGGCATTTACAAATGAAGAGGTCTGCATATTCCAGCTCACATTCAAGAGGATGCACCATCACAAGAACAGAAGAACAAAAGACTAAATGTTATTTCCATCTTAAAAATAAACTCAATGCTACATGCAGATGCATATAACAAAACCTCAACAGCAGTGGTGGGGGAAGGGTGTCAGAGGATAGGTTCACCTAGAATCCCTACACTCACTGCTACTCCACCCCATCTTAAAGTGGTTGCACACATGTTTTTATAGTGGCCGTCAGGGTTATGTTACATGTATTTTGCATGTAACATTCAGTTACGTTCTTCAGTTGACTTTATTTGCAATGTTTTAACAATGGTAGTATGAGAAACTGTGCCAGTCTTGCCCATCTCCCTTCATTGTTATTGCAATGTGTGGGTTTTTAAAGTTTCTATTGCTAGTGCTAGAGGCCATTTTCTAGAAATAAAACACCAACCTCTTAAAACAACAAAAATCAAAGGGATCCCCCCCAAACAACTCTTCAAGACTCCTGTAAAACCAGACAGCTTTCTTCAAAGCAAGTGCACCCCACAGTAACTCATGCCTGAAGCACATAACCCCTGAGTGAAGCATATGCATTTGTTTCTGCTTAAAGCTGCTATTAACACATGTAGGTTAAAAGGGGAGGGGGACAATCTTAGATAGCAGCAAGATCCCTAGCCAGTCATTTCTAGTCCCTTTGCATTTGTTAGAGGAAGCAAAATGCACTGAATCACCAGGCACGTAACAGATCTGTGAACTGAATTTGAAAGAACTGTCCATCATAGAGAGGATGGTTGTGCAGATGAAGTCCTTTTCACAGTGCTGTTTTCAAAGGAACCAGGACCCACAAAGAAACTTTACTTTGGACTTTCCATTATATCACCATTAAGGACAGCTAGGATGAAACCCATAGAGGGCCTGGATCCAGCAGCCCCCAAAAGCAGAGCGAAACAGGTATCTGTCCCCTGTCATGTTTCCAAGTTGGTTAACTCCAGCCAGTCCGCCTCATTTTCACACCTGCCACGAGTTTTGAAAAATCCCTTGATCAGCCTCTGTGCTTCTTCTTTCACTGTAAGCAGAAACAGTCAATTGTACCTAACTGTTTTATATCCACCAACAGTTCTAACAAAGAAAAGAATCCATATTAATCCTCACCCAAGAGATTAGATACCTCTGTTACCAAATGCAGATTGTTCATAGTTACACAAGCATTCTAAACTGAAAATATTCTACTGGCGATTCCACGTTTGCAAAACATGAAGTTTTGGAGACACAAACAGGGTAGGTACTGAGGAGAAGAGAGTCTATATACTGGAAAACTTCATGAGGAATAATAGCCATGTGGCAGAGGAGGGAGATGAAGAAGGAAGAAGGAAGAAGAAGGAAGAAGGAAGAAGGAGGAAGGAGGAAGGAGGAAGAAGGAAGGAAGAAAGAAGGAAGAAGAAGGAAGAAGAAGAAAGAAGGGAGGAAGAAGGGAGGAAGGAGGAGGAGGAGGAGGAGGAGATCGGATTTATACCCCGCCCTTCACTTGGAGTCTCAGAGCGGCTTACAAACTCCTCTCCCTTCCCCTCCCCACAACAGACACCCTGTGAGGTGGGTGGGGCTGAGAGAACTCTGACACAAACTGCTCTTTTTCAAGGACAGCTGTGCCAGAGCTTGTGAGTGACCCAAGGTCACATCAGCAGGTGCAAGTGGAGGAGTGGGGAATCAAACCCGGTTCTCCCAGATTAGAGTCCGCACACTTAACCACTGCACCAAACTGGCTCAGAAGGAGACTGTTGATTGCTAACAACTCTGCACACCCACCCTTTCTGATTTCTCAGCCTTTCCTCAAACACGTGCTAAAAAACTCCAAAAGAGGGGGAAAAACCCAAGACATGGGGCTTTGTCTTTGTCAACAGATTCTGTGTGAGACAAGATCATTCCATGCCAAGTGGCACAACAGGCAGGGCACTCCTCCCCACCCCTCATTGGCCATCTTACCAGTCTTGCGGAGGGGAGTCTTGTCTGCTGCCAGCAAATGAGAAAGGTGTCGGGCAAACCCCTTAAACAGATCCTGCCGATCAGGGGGAGCAAAAAAACAAAACAAAACACAGTAAGCGGAGTCTTCCTCATTAAACTGTGATGTAGTGTTTTTACGGTTGCCACTCTCCAGGTGGGGCCTGAAGTTCTGCCGAAATCAGAACTGGTCTCCAGACTACCGGGGATCGGTTCCCCTGGAGGAAATGGCAGCTTCATGGGGCAGATTCTATGGCATCACATCCCTGCTGAACTCCCTCCCCCCTGCTCAAACTCTGGGTTAAGCCCGGGCCTCACTTGCCATGTATTTCTATATGGATTCGCGTGAGTTTCTACACTTCCTCTGTAACCTTGTTCTTTCCTATTCCTGTTTATCTTCTCTGCTGGGAAGTGGGAGGGGGAGCGACTGGGTATGGCTGTCTCCTTTGCTCGTAACAATTCTCACACTGGGGCCTCCCGAGTGTGCTGTAAACATCTTGGGATGCGTATGATGTCACTGTTCAGTGTGACCTTGTAGTTGGCAGAGCTTCTAGGGCCCCGGTCACACGAGAGGTTTTGGGCTGGGAGAGGGACGGATCGGGGGCGCAGCAAACGGGCACGATCCCACAGCAACATCTGGGAAGCGTGGCGCGCTTGTTCCCGATCTGGCCCTTCCACCCAAAACCCAGCATTCTTCGGGAAAGGGCGTATCAAGGCCGGCCGTGGGATTGCCTTCCGCCGGCTCATCCCCGGCTCCTGGCCAAACTGCGCATGCTCAGACATGCGTAGTTCGGCAGCCTCCCCCTCCCGACTGTCGCTTCCTCCCCAGCATCTGATCGTGCCGGGGAGCAATGGCGCCGCGGCTCAGGGGATCTGTGGGATCCCGCCGCGGCGTCTCTATTTTGGTGCGGCTTTTAAAAGCCGCACTTTGCCTGTTTTTTTCCCTGCCGTGTGGCAGGGACCTAGATAATGTAACCGTCAGCTTGCAAGTGTTAGGGGCAGTTGTAGGGGCAGAGGCAAACTTGTGGCAGGCTGAGTGAGAGAAGTGATTGGTCCTTTGGCATATGGGGTTTTTCCTGGTTTTATTACATTGGGGGGACTGGCATCTGGAACCTAGGCATGGCACAAAAGCTGTTCTTGCTTGGAACCCCTCCACCTCCTAATAAACAAATCTTGATGCTACAAGAGTGTTGTGGGAGTGATTGAGTCCAGGGCTTGACACTCTGCCCTCTCCAGGCTCTACTCCCAAATCCTCAGGAATTTCCCAAACTGGTGTTAGCGACCCTAGTTTTTGTACAGCACATAAACACATTTTCACTAACGCTAGTACCTGTATGGTAGTAATGCCTAGATGTAGTGGTACAGAGAATACCAGTCACCATACCAAGTACTGTACCAGTGGAATGTGCACCTGCCCTAACAAATTAGCCACCTAAAAACAAAGGGATAGTAAGGGAAAAAACACCCACCCACCCACACTCTATTAGATCAGCTAGAAGCCTCTAAAGCACAAAGTGGCCATATAAATACTTATTCTTGTATTGTCCATCTAGCAGATTAAGGACAAGGAGACTCTTGTGGAACACGAAGCAACCCCCGTGTCACTGTTTTGCTTGTTATTTTGTTATTGATAACTTTTTATTTTAATCGTAAGCTGCCTTGAGCAGGACTCTGATGAGGCAGCACAGAAATCTCCTAAACAAATAAACAAATCGAGGACCAGCAGCAAGGCTGCTAAGGAAGGGAAATGAGGCAGGTCAGAGCAGCTGGTGGGTTGTATTCCATCTGCTTCACTTATAAGCACAATAACCTACAGATGGGGAATAAAGAATACAGATATGGGGAAGAACAGGTCAAACAGCCATAGTAATGAAACACAAGGCCAGGTCAGAGCCCAAATATTTCAAGCACTGCTTTGTTCACCTTTCCTGCCAGGAACAGACAGAAACCACTTGCAAATGGTGGAGAGGTTAGTGTATGAATGAAATCACTAAAGAGGAACTGATGACAAACTTGCATATTTCCTAAGTAGTTCTGGAAGGGATACACCACATTCATATTTAATTTAGACTCTCTGGAGTGCGGCTGTGGAGAAGTTAAGTGTTCTTTGCTTTTCATCACACCTTGCTCTGCAAGAGTCACAAGACCCTGTCCAACAGTGTGGACATTTTCTTCCCATGTTGCCATTTTTAATTACAGGTGACCTTTCAAGAGGAAAAACAAAACAAGGCTCATAACCCACCTTGGAAGCGAATTTGCCACCTTTATAGAAAGGGGTTAAGTATTTGACAACAATGTCTGCTGTCTCCTTAAGGGACAATGCCTTTGTAGATTGGTAAATGATTTTAGTGGTTCCTTCCTTATCGGTTTGTGACAAGTTTGGATCAAAGGTGACTTTCTTTTTTACAGGGTCACCAGCTTTCCCCTCCGACTGCAACAAGATGGAAGACGTTGTCATCACTCGGAGCCTCTTTTCAGCAGAGTTTTCCAGGTCCTTGAAAAAGAGCAACAGAGTTTTAAGTGCAAAGACGTTCGGGTGGGAAACAGCTACCCTGAACCTTAAACTAGCAAAACTTTAAGCACAATGGGTTGGATTGCAGCACTAAGTGAGGAGTCTTCCTTCATCAGTTCCCCCCATCCCAGCTTGGGAGGAAGAAGGGCAGTACAGCAGACGCCTCTCCCTTGTGCACTGCCCAGGGGGGTGCAAGCAGCTGGAAGAAGGGAGGAGGACCCGAGCCGGGTTGGGCTCCAGCAGCTACAGGAAATGACAGCGGCAGCGAGGCAGATTTGGTCTTCCTTCATTAGTGGAAAGCTCCTCATTTAGTAAAAAGGTACCTGCCGTTTTTAATTTCAAGTTGTGTTCCAACGGCTTTGGGCCCAATTTGCACACAGAGGTATCCCAAGGATACTTCTTGTACCTAAGATAAAACACCAACCTCTAAATCACCCCCACCCCATCATAAACTCTAGCCTGGACTAGGCCATGCAGAAGGTTCGTTTCTGGACACCACAGAAAAAGACATGAGAGCAGCCTATTCCAGTATTAGGAAGAATTTGTGTGCCTATCATCATGAGCACACTCACAACCTGCTATCTACAGGCAAGCCTCTCTGACAGAACGGCATCTCCTCCAATCTTTTTAGGGACAACACCTGCAGGACTCACCTGAGGCATTCTTAAGACTAAAGTGCTCATTTGGGGGAGCAGAGAAACAGACTAAGAAGGCCAGATGGGTTTCTCAGGAGCTATGCTCAGCAAAGAGAGTGACTTACAGTTGTGAGCCAATACCTCTCAAAGTCATCAATAAGGTTCTAAAGCCCATGTTGTAAAATGAGCTTTCCTCTCACAAGCTTTGGAAGAAAGGTCTATGCAGACAGCACACACACACACATCAGCAACCATGGGCCACAAAGCAAACACATGGATTGAGAAATCAGACCATGCATCAAGTCATGATGTCAACTTGGCTTCCAGGATCCTGGAAGAAGGATCCTTGGGATCAAGCAATGACAAACTCATTCAGCCGTACAATTTGTAATGTGATATATGCTAGGTAAGGCCCTTCCAGTAATCCACAAATAAGACAGTATTTCAAACGAAATAATGGACACCAATCAGATGTTAAAAATGGTTAGCAAGGGAGCATTTCAGTCTCCTAGAGTATTCTGAAACTGATTTCAAAGGACACTATCCACTTCTTCCTATCCCCACACCCCAAATTTCAAAATGAGACTCCAATACAGAGAACACTATGTTGGAAACTAATGGCAAATTTGACACGGTGGTATTCAGTCTCAATGTACAAAGAAAGAACATAAGAAGACCCCTGGTGGATCAGACTGTTGGTCCATCTAGTCCAGCATCTTGTCTCACACAGTGGCCAAGCAGTTCCTCTGGATATCCAACAACAGGGCATTGAGGCTGAGGCCTTCCCCTGATGTTGCCTCCTAGCAATAGTACTCAGAGGTTTAATGCTTCTGAATGTGGAGGTTCCCTTTGGTTAGCATGGCTAGTAGCCACTGAATCTGTTTATTCCTGTGGCCATAATCACTACATCCTCTGGCAGTGAATTCCACATTTTAATCACTCTCTGTGTAAAGTAGTATTTCCTTTCGTCTGTCCTGAACCTACTGCCCATCAGCTTCTTTTTTTCAGTTCAGCCTGTTTATGGAAGAGTGAAAGTTATGCATGTGTAGTTCTCTTGTCTGTGATTTTTTTTTACTTTATAAAACAAAAAAATAGACACACACATACATACATAAATTGGGGGTTCCCACACATCACTGAATTATCTATTTAAGAACCTCATACATTATATTTATCTAAATTCCAGTTATGTTTTTATATATATCTTTTACATATAGGTAAAATAAAAGTTCTTAGTTTCTTCTAGACTGGTTGTGCATCCATATATTTAATTTGATATTAAATTAAAGGATTTGCTTCGGGACGATTTGGACTACCACCCGCTTGCCGCTACTTGCAGGGAGTCCAGATCAAGTCCCCTGCTTGAGCTCCTCTCTGGGGAGCCCAATGGAGTTCAAGAGAGCCTGAACTCCGCTAAAAGTCCTGGCGATCCGGTGCTCTACATGGGAGCAAGTCCTGGAGCGCACCGTCCTCGTCGCGCTGACACAGGAAGATCCCATCAGTTTCATTGGATGCCCTCGAGTTCTAGTATTTTTGGAGGGAAAAAATCTCTTTGTCAGCTCTTTCCACCCCATGCATAATGTTATAAACCTCTATCATGTCCCCCTTCGTTGTCTCTTTTCTTAACTGAACAGTCCCAGGCTCTTCAGTCTTTCCTCACAGGGAAGGTGCTCCAACTCTCTAATCACCTTGGTTGCCGTCTTCTGTTCTTTTTCCAGCTCTGCGATGTCTTTTTTTGAGATAGGGTGACCAAAATTGCATACAGTATTCCAAATGAGGTTGCACCACAGACCTACACTGGGGCATTATAATGTTAGCCATTTTATTTTCAATCTCTTTCCTAACGATCCCCAAAAAGAGTTTGCCTTTTTCACTGCTGCAACACACTGGGTTGACACTTTCATCGAGCTATCGACTATAACCTCCAGATTTCCCCCCCTCCCAATCTCAGCAAGTTCCAGCCCCAATTAGACTATACTTGTAGTTGCAAGTTTTTGCATCACATTACACTTACCAACACTGCCATTGTTGCCCACTCACCCAATTTGTGGTGATTCCTCTGGAGCTTTTCACAGACATCCTTGGTTTTCATCATCCTGAATAATTTTGTGTTATCTGCAGACCTGGCCACTACATCACTCACCCCTAGTTCCAGATAACTTATGAATAAATTAAATAGTACCAGTCCCAATACTGATTCTTGTGGGATCCCATTGTGTACTTCCCTCCATTCCAAGGACTATCAGTTTATTCCTATTCTTTGCTTCCTGTCATTTAACCAGTTTTTAATCCATAGGAGTACCCGACCTGTCCTCTTATCCCACGACTGCTAAGTTTACTCAGGAGTCTTTGGTGAGGTACCTTGTCAAAAGCCTCCTGAAAGAAGCCCTGACCCAGATAGCTCTTGTCAGATCTCAGAAGCTAAGCAGGGCTGACCATGGCAAATACTTGGAAGGGCAACCTCCAAGGAACCAGGGCTCGGGACACAGAGGCAGGCTATCAAGCCACCTCTCTGAAAAATGCCCAAGTCCCCAGTAGGGGGTCACCAGAAGTCACCATGACTTCCAGGCATGCAAGCACGCGCACGCACACACACACAAAATACCCCCCCAAGCCTTCTAAAAGTCCAAGTATATAATGTCTACCAGGTCACCATTATCCACATGTTAGTTCACTTTCTCAAAGAACTCCAAAAGGTTGATGAGGGAGGACATCCCTTTGCAGAAGCCATGCTGATTTTGCCTCAGCAGACTTTGTTCCTCTATGTGCCTAATAATTCTGTTAGTGGAATTAGGAGTGCAGGAGCCTTTCCTGTTAATTCCCATTCCCACCAGGTCCAATGGGGAGGGAGAGAAATTGGCAGGGATCCCAACTGCACCCAAGAGACAGTTGTTCCAAAGAATCTCTTATTTATTGAACTTCAAAGCCATAATGCAGAAACTTTCAAATATATAACGTTCTAGCATGCACCATACACTAAGACATCTAAGGTGTATGCCATCAGGACCTGGAGACTTTCTGGTTTTTAATTTCCCCATTAGGACTAAAACTTCATATCTTGACTCAGTTCTTCAGACTCCCTTCCTGAAAACAGTGGCTATGGCATGGGTCCTTGCCCCACACTTTCCACAGTGAATACAGAAGCAAAAAACTCATTGAGGTTCTCAGCCATCTCCCCATCTTCCTATTAGCAATCTCTTTATTCCTTGGTCATCCAAAGGCCCAGCTGCTTCTCTGGCTGGTTTCCTGCTCTGGATATATTTAAAGAAATGTTTGTCTTGATGCTTCCAGCAACCTGTTCCTCAAATTCTCTTTTTGTATGCCTAATTACTGACAACTTACATTTCTTTTGCCAATCCTGTGGTCCCTTCTGTTCAATTCATTGGGGTAGACCTTCCTTGACTTGTGTTGTTAACTATGCAGATATTCTTTTAGACTTGGCAGCACCTTTCCTAACCCAAGGAATGCATTTTACCTGGGTTTCAATTAGTGTGGTTTCAAATAGCTTTCAACCATCCTCTAGGGATCTGACTGTCTTGTGTTTCCCTTTGAGCTTCCTTTTAACTATTCACCTCATTTTTGTTAAGTTTCCTCTTCTGAAATAAAATATCATTTTAGACTTAAAGGGTAACTTTCCATTGAGATGAATGCTGAACTTAATAGCACTGCGGGCACTGTTCCCAAATGGTGCAACAACCTCTACATTTCTCACCAGGTCTTGAACCCTGCTCAGAATCAAGTCCGAGACCACTACTCCCCTTGCTGGCTCTGTGACCAACTGTTCCAGTACACAGTCATTTATGATGTCTAAGAATCTCACTTCTACAGCATGATTCCAGCATGTTTACCTGGTCAATGTCAGGGTAGTCTCCCAGTATCATAATATCATCTGCTTTAACCTCCCTTATTTCCTTCTCCATCTCAATATCAGCCTCAGGGGTTTGATCAGATGGGTGAGAATACACTTTCATTTTTAAATAACTCTTAGGGCCCAGTATTTCCACCCATATTGGTTTGGTGTAGTGGTTAAGTGCGCGGACTCTAATCTGGGAGAACCGGGTTTGATTCCCCACTCCTCCGCTTGCACCTGCTGATGTGACCTTGGGTCAGTCACAAGCTCTGGCACAGCTGTTCTTGAAAAAGAGCAGTTTGTGTCAGAGTTCTCTCAGCCCCACCCACCTCACAGGGTGTCTGTTGTGGGGAGGGGAAGGGAAAGGAGTTTGTAAGCCACTCTGAGACTCCAAGTGAAGGGCGGGGTATAAATCCAATCTCTTCTTCTCTTCTTCTTATGTTGGGGAGTTTGTTACCCTAATGTTTTCTAACTTATTTGATTCTATGCTCTCCTTGATGTACAATGCAACACCTCCCCCAACCTGTCCCTCCCTGTCCTGCCTATAGAGCTTATACCATGGGATGAATGTATCCCACAGATTTTCCCCATTCTACCCTGTTTCTGAGATACCCACTATATCTAAATTGCCATTTAGCACCAAGCACTCCAGCTCTCCCGTCTTGGCTTGAAGACACACGCACGCGCGCGCGCGCGCGCGCACACACTATAACATGTTTCCTACTCCAGTAACCCTTGCATCCCTTTCCCCCTTTGTTGTCACACATGGCCCTTTCCTTCAACATCCTACCTGCCCTCCCAAGTTCTACTATGCTCCTATCAATATTATCCTGGGTGCTCACACAATCATCCCTTTGGGCTGACTTGTCTCCCCAGCTCCTGTTGGCTTTCCCCTGGGATTAGTTTAAATGCTGGTTTAAAAGCAGGACAGGACAGGACAGGACAGGACAGGAAAAGCTGGTCTACCACCTTTTTGATATTAAGCACCAGCAGCTTGATTCCCTTTGGTTCAAGTGAAGTCTGTCTCTTTTGTACATGGTTTGTCTTATCCTAGGAAGTTCCTCAGTGTCTAACAACTCTAAACCCTCCCTCCAGGCACCACTTTTTCATTCACACATTGAGACCCCTGATCTCCACCTGCCTAGGTGGCCTAGCACATGGAACTCGTAGAAATTATTAGAATATTACCTTTGAGGTCCTGGCCTTTAACTTTCTGCCTAGTAACCTATTTTTCCCCTTCAGGGCCACATTATTACATATCCCAATGTTATTGGTGTCAACATGCACCATGACTGCTGACTTGTCCTCAGCACTATCAACCTATCTAGACAGCGAATTATGTCTACAACCTTGGCACCAGGCAGTCAAATCACCATGAGGTCAAAACGCCCGTCACAGATCCCTCTCTCTCTATTCCTAATAACTGAATCACCCAGTACCAAAAGTCCACCTCCCCACAATCCCAGGGGTATATCCTTGGTATAAGAGGACACTGATCCGTCACCCAAAGAAGGAGTCCCTTCTAAGGTATCACATCCCTGCTCCTCAGACTGATGCTCTCCAACCTCAAGACTCTCAGTCTCCACAATAGCAGAAGGGCTCTCAGAACAGGAGTGGGACTGTTCTGTTAAGTCCTTAATGGTATCATCCCCAAACCTTTCTCTCTGCCTCAGATTCTCCAGGTTGGAAACCCTAGCCTGTCCCTGAGAGCCAAGAGCTCCATGCATCAAGCACACACCCAAGGTTTCTGCCCAGTGGGTACATAATCATACATGTGTCACTACCTGCAAAACACTGAATAGCCCCTGCTCCCCTGCTGGCTTTCTAACTTTGCAACTAATTTAGTCATTTAAAGGTATTTTAGAAGAGGGTGCTTACCTCAACTTGTGCAGCACCCAACCCTTTTTGCTGCTGTGGTGCTTTATGTTCTATCGTAGGGAACCTGGACTAGAGCTCCCAAGCTCAGCTTCCTAGTTAAAAACTCTATTTGAAGCACTGGTCACAGCCCCAAAAGCAAGCTCCACAGGGATCCCAAGTGTCTCTTACAGAGTCAGTCCTCTGATCTATTTAGGGTATTGTTTACACTGTTTCATTTAGGGTATTGTTTACACTATTCATCTGCTATGCCCATTCACCAGTGGCTACTTGCCAGAGTATCAGAACAACACTGATTAGATCTTATATTCATTTATGCTCTGCATAGTAGTATGCTCTTGCATTTCTTGGCCTCACTTAAAAAGAAATCTCTCTGTACTCATGACACATATAACTACCCTATTACGTGACAACGTCATACTTTTAATCAAATACACTCTGGCACACAAAAGCTTATACTCCTACAGTATATCTGTTTCAAGTGCCACAAGAATCTTTGTTCTTGCAGCAGCAGGCTAACACAGTAAATATACATATAAATGCAGCTGTATATCTTACTGGCAAATATATCACATGGCACATATATCATCTTATCACTTTTCTCCTCAAGTGAAAAACTGTTCAGCTTCCCCACATCAGTTGATTCTAACTGGAAGCCACTGTAAGAAACAGGGTAATTCTTTCATAATTTCTAAACATTTCCTTTTTGTTTCCATTTTTATTTTATAATTGTATTATATCAAACATTTACACTTACCTAGAAATTTTTACAAAGCGGGCATGTAGCTTAATCTATTTAGTAGGAGGTAAACCTGCCTTTCAAAGTGAAAGCTGCTAACAAATGCCTCAACTGGAATTTGGCAAGAGCCCATTTTAAACTACCACATCAGTACATTCCATTATTTCTTAAAGAGGCTTCACACCTTATTCTTTATACATTACTATACTCTTACAGAAAACAAGATAAATCATAATTTTTATTTAATCCATAGGGGAAGTATGATTTTAGACGAAATAGCCAATAACTTTCTCTCTGCAGCAATATTTTTTGCAGGTCATTTTTACTGTGTGCTTGTCAGACTCTTGGGTAAATCAGTTCCCAACAAAATTCACAGAAACATCATGGAGAGTTCTCCTCTGAAATTTGGAATGTCGTTTTTTTCCCCGAAAAAGCTTCAATGTGAGACGAGACAGTGGATAGCTAGCACACTCGTTAGAAAACAAATTCTTCTGAAAATCTTCATGGATTTCCTGATTCTATTTTGAAACCATCATTTCTGGATTACCAATTTGGAATGTTCTACATACTTCTCATTGGACTTTATTATTGTATAGGAATTTGTTTCATACTAGTTAATTGATTTTGTACCTCTACATGGACATATGCAATTTATACTTCTTTGATTGTGTCAGTAACTACATACTAACAGATATCTGAGTTGCACATTCTTATTCTTTATTGAATACAGTTCATTTTTGATATATTTTCATACACAGTTCTTTGTTGTTCTTTGGGTCTGTATACCGTGTAGGTACCGGTTTTTATTGAAATTCCAGTTGAGGCATTTGTTAGCAGCTTTCACTTTGAATGGCAGGTTTACCTCCTACTAAATAGATTAAGCTACATGCCTGCTTTGTAAAAATTTCTAGGTAAGTGTAAATGTTTGTTATAGTACAATTATAAATGGAAACAAAAGGAAATTTTTTAGAAATTATGAAAGGAGTGGCCAGTAAGATATACATTTATTGATATGGTTCAACGTATTTACTGTATCGTATTGATCCGATGAAGTCTTTTAGGATGCAATGAGGGACGTAATACATCCAGGACCTTGTGATCTATAAACACAGATCTGGAAAGTTACACTGGATATTTTTGTCTCTCTCTTGTTTTCAATAGAGTTTGTAGGTTTTTTAATTGTAATATGTTTTGGACTAAGATAATTAAATGCACACAAGTATGAGTCGAACTTAACAACTGTACTAGCAGGCTAACATGGCCACCTTTCAGGAATCTGCACTGCAAGGTCCAGCCAGTATGACCTCCCTTCCTTTTTCTACATCCATATTCCAGTCACTTGTAAGAATTATGCGACTGAGCTATTCTGCTGCAAACCCTCATCAAAAGCATTTATTCTACCTCTGACATATGTGTGATGGAAACAGAAATAAAAAGGGGATTAAAAAAAACCTTACCTCAGCTGATCCTGGTCTCTTTCTATTACGGTCTCCACAGCCATTAGTCATTTCATCTTCAGGCAAAGGCTTAGCACTGCTGAGGAGAGGAATAATTACATCTTTTGTATGAAAGAATGTTCAAACTATCGCACAATTGCACTCATATCACACGCTAGCAAGGTCATGCTCAAGATCCTACAAGCTAGGCTTCAACAGTACGTGGATAGAGAACTGCCAGAAGTACAAGCTGGGTTTCGAAGAGGTAGAGGAACTAGAGATCAAATTGCCAACATTCGCTGGATTATGGAGAAAGCAAGAGAGTACCAGAAAAACATCTACTTCTGCTTCATTGACTATGCTAAAGCTGTGTGGATCACAACAAACTATGGCAGGTCCTTAAAGAGATGGGAGTACCAGACCACCTCACATGTCTCTTGAGAAACCTGTATAAGGGTCAAGAAGCAACAGTTAGAACCGGATATGGAACAACTGATTGGTTTAGCATAGGAAAAGGAGTACGACAAGGATGTATATTGTCACCTTGCTTATTTAATATATATGCAGAGTACATCATGCGAAATGCTGGCCTGGATGAATCACAAGCGGGAATTAAGATTGCTGGGGAAAAGATCAACAACCTCAGATATGCAGACGATACCACTCTAATGGCAGAAAGTGAAGAGGACCTAAAGAGCCTCTTGCTCAGGATAAAAGAGGAGAGCGCAAAAGTGGGCTTGAAGCTCAACAACAAAAAAACTAAGATCATGGCATCCGGTCCCATCACTCCTTGGCAAATAGAAGGGGAAGTCGTGGAAGTAGTGACAGACTTCACGTTCCTGGGCTCCCAAATCACAACAGACTGTGACTGCAGCCATGAAATTAAAAGACGCCTGCTCCTTGGGAGGAAAGCGATGGCGAACCTAAACAGCATGATAAAAAGTAGAGACATCACCCTGCCAACAAAAATACGCATGGTCAAAGCAATGGTATTCCCAGTAGTCATGTATGGCTGCGAGAGTTGGACTATAAGGAAGGCCGAGCGCCGAAGAATAGATTCTTTTGAACTATGGTGCTGGAGAAGACTCTTGAGAGTCCCTTGGACTGCAAGAAGATCAAATCAGTCAATCCTAAAAGAAATCAACCCTGACTGTTCCCTGGAAGGCCAGATAATGAAAATGAAGCTCAAATACTCTGGCCACCAAATGAGAAGGGAGCACTCACTGGAGAAGACCCTGATGCTGGGAAAGATTGAAGGTCAAAGAAGACGGGGACAGCAAAGGATGAGATGGCTAGACAGTGTCATAGATGCAACGAACATGAAACTGAGCAAACTTCAGAGGACAGCGGAAGACAGGAGGGCCTGGCGGGATCTAGTCCCTGGGGTCGCGAAGAGTCGGACTCGACTGTGCGACTGAACAACAACAACAAAAGCTACATTCCAAGACATTTTTTTTTGGTATTTTTGCATTTATGTGTGTGCCCTTGCCTGGAAGTCATGGCGACCTCTGGCAATTCCTACTGGGGCACGAAGGGCGTTCAGAGAAGGGGCTTGATAGCCTGCCTCTGGCCTCCCAGCCCTGGTATTCTCTGGAGGTCTCCCATCAAAATACTTGCAAGGGTTGGACCTGCTTAGCTTCCGAGATGTGACGAGACTGGGCTTGCCTGTAGGGCCGTAGCGAGCAGTGGGGCTTTTGCCCCAGCAGGCATGTACCCCAAAAGCCGCACTAGGGGCCTTAAAAAAACCCCATGCCATTGCTGCCTCCTCCATCCCTCCCAGAGAAGTATCTGGCCTTGAAGGGCTTCCTAAGCCGCACTGCCTCGAGCCTCCGCCAGCCTCATAGCCAGCTCAGAGTCCTTTCTTCCATTGGTGGGGAGGAAGGGAGTCTGGCCTTGTCGGGCCAGCCTGAGGTGATTCTGGTAAGCCGCCTTTCTTTCCTTGAGTGGAAAGGAGGAGGCTTACAGGGATCACTTTGGGCTGGTGCAGAGCAGGGGTGGGAGGGGGCGTGGGGGGATGATGGATCACATGACGACACTACCAACACAGGCACAGTGGGTAAGTAACTACTACTCCCCCCAACCCCTCTCCTTCCCCCTGCTCCATTAATTAAACTTAAAATGAATGTAGATTTAATTTAATTAAAGCCCCACCTGGCACCTTGGAGACCCCCTCCCAATCCTGGCTATGGGGCTGCTTGCCTGGGCTACCCAGGTAAGGGCGACATTAATTTTTTAAGGGCGATAAATATGTTTTCACACAGCACAGCTTCAGGAACTCCAGCACCTACCTGCACTGCAGCTGGGCTCAACTACCTCCTCCTTGCCTATTTAGGCTGAGGCCTGGACAAGACAGCCTTGCTGGAGCAACCAGCCCACAAGGCACAAGCCCCATGTTCCAAGCTCCAGCTCCGAAACCTAGCTCCAAGCTTCCATTTAGGTCTTCAGCTTCTAGCCCCAAGCACGGCCAGGCCCAGGCCCGAGGGTAATGTAGTACCTTCAGGGGAAGCCTGGCTGGGTCAGGTTGCACAAAGTAGGACAACCTGAGTGGTGGTAGGCTCTGCATCAGTGTGGAGCGTGACATGGAGTTTGAAGGTACCAACAACAGCATGGTGATCAGTATCAACATTGGCCCCAGAGGTGGTTTAGTTACTAGGGATTTGGGTTGTATCAAGGTGGTGCTTGGGGTCAACTTCACTGTCAACAACACTTGCCACAACAGGAGGAGATGGAGACAGGAGTGTCTCTTGTGGCTGGCTTTCCTTGTTAATTTCAGGCACTGCTTACAGGCATTGGTATTAAGTGACTCTCCAAGGCAGACGAAGCAGCAATCACAATTATCGATGGTAGTTTTCCCCCTGCAGTCCTCAAACTTTTAAAAAGATGTTTTTGCTATGGACAAAGCAGAGAGCAGCAGATCCCTGGGAGAGAAAACCCCCCAAAAGTGAAGAATCCAGAAGTAGCAGCTCACAATTAAAAAAAACCAAAACCCTTCAAAGTAGTAGTTCCCAGAGATATCTACCATGCAGCTGACAAAAAGCAGCTGAGCAGGAGAGGCATGACTCAGTGCACAGACTACCTCTACACTGAAGGAGAGGAGTTTTTCATGCCTTTTTGGTAATTCAGGAAGTTTCTGAGATTGGCTTCTGTGCAGGTGCAAAACTCATAAATGTGATGCATGAGACCATGAAGAAGTAACTGTGCTAGGGTCCAGTGGTTACCTATTATTCTTTTCCTTCAACACTTCAGACTTCACTAGAAAAAAAAAGATTTTTCAACTTGGATCACCTAATTAATCTTTCACACAGCTTCAAAGCCCACACACATAACACTAAGCTCTTCAGCCTCTGCTCCAAATGTCTGAATTCCTAAAAATAATGTCTATAATGGAAAAACATGCAACTTCAATTAATGTTCTCCATTTGATCAACATTTTAGTGGCAGATACTAATTTTGCTTTTTTCATACTTAGTTCCTGATCTCAAATGTACCTAGATAAATTATGGGGGACGGGGGGGGGGGGGGGGGGCTAAAAAATGAAGCCTCTCACCATGGTTTTCCAAGGGGTGATCCTGGGCACGAAGATTCTGTTCCTGAGTTGTGAGTTCCTATTGCTGGACTGTCCCCCGTTTCCCCAAACTCCTGCTTTTCTAAGTGGGATGCACCAGCTATTTCTTCTTTGGAGATCATTTCAGTTCCTCGACAGCCTTTCTCCTCATACAGTCTTCCAGAAGGAAAGGGCAGTAGGTCACTGAGATAACAGTTTTCCTCCTCCTCCTCTGCTAAATCAAGTGCTGAGTCCAAGGCCTTAGAGCCTGTTTTCTGGCTAGAGAAGAATTTGAAAATGTTCTGAGATTCTTTCCTAGCTGCTTCTGCCAGCAGCAGCTGCTTCTTGGTGAGTTTGCCCTTCTTGGTGGGTTTGCCCTTCTTGGTAGGACTAACTCCCAAGGAGGCTGTAGGATTGGAAGAGCTTTCCTGCCCCTCCTCGAGATCGTCACCAGCATTTCTGATTTCTTTGGATACTTCCACTTTGTTCTCAGGAGTTCTAACAATGTCCAAAGGCTCAGGGTTATGACTACAATCTCCTTTCCAGATTGGGCTCAGTTCCTCTTTTTCAGGTTTAACTTCATCCGCCTCCTCAGCCACCAACACTTTTGAAGCTGACTGGAATGCATCTGATGTCTTCCGAAATCCAATTCCCACCCTCTTGGGTTTGAACTGCATTAGAAAGAGATGAGATATAACTAGATGACTGACAGTAGAATCTTAAGAACACTTTCCTGGGTGTAAGCCCAACTGAATGGACCAGAGCAAGATTCTGAGTGACCTATTTAGGACTGCTTTCTCAGAGAGTATGACTGCTCAGTGGGGCTTACTCCGAGGAAAGTGTTCTTAGGACTCGAGGTTACCACTTAGAAAACCAGAAATTAAAATCTAGTCCATCCATAACCTTATAGGTGTCTTAAATTGAAATTCACAACACTTTACGGATAGCACTAACAGAAAGTGGCAGTAGCATGAAGTGGGGAGAAGAGAATAAAGATTGCTGGACACCCATGTTAGAAGGAATCATAGAAATGAAACTCCATAAGCTGTTAAAAGACCATCTTCATTATAAAACTTTCAACACTACTTACGGATCTGACAGTGTCTACCCGTACTTACCGTGTTCATCTTGGATGGTATATGGAAACCATCATCAGCTGTTGCAGTTGGTTCAGCTTTTATCCTGGGACAGCCACTGACTCCCAAGGCAAATGCAGAATATAGCTCTCCATCTCTGGAAGCTTTGTTAATTTCTGCCACCTTTGTGCAGAAAGCAGGAAAAATTGTCCGGAAGCCTTCCAGTTGCCACAAACAGCAGTACAAACAGCAGTTCCATGTAAGGAAGTATTAACAAATTATGCTCTTTTCATCCCATCTCTTTACAGCTTAGCTTTGATTTACTCTTTTCCTTCTTAATAAGAGAAAGATTAAGAAGCAGCAGATACATTACAACATTAACCGAACATGTAAAAACACAAAAATGTAATAAATTAAGGCATTATATTTAGGGGTGTGCACTCGATATATACCAAGCCAAATAAATACCTGAAAAATACCTTATTGGTATTTTTTCAGATATTTATTCAGCTGGATCAGATTAGAGAATCTGATTCAGCTACCAATGTAGCTGAGCCCAAATAAAAGCCTAAATTATTCGTCTTTTATTCAGGCATAACCTGGAGAAGCTGAGTTGCACTGCTGCCACGGCATGGGCCAACTTGAAGAAGGGATCTAAAGAGACCTCTTTAAATCACTTCTCCAAGCCAGCCCACACAACAGCGGTGCAACCTGGTGAGTGAACTCTGGCAGTTAAAGGTTTTCTTTAAATGCCTGAGTTCACTTGCTGAGTCCTACCATGTGCTAACTTGGAGAAGGGATTTAAAGAGGTCCCTTTAAATCCCTTCTCTAAGCTGGCCTGTGCTGCTGCTGTGGTGGTGCAACTTGGCGAGTGAACTCTGGCATTTAAAGGGTTTCTTTAAATGCCTTTCACTTGCTGAGTCCTACCATGTGCTAGCTTGGAGAAGGGATTTAAAGAGGTCCCTTTAAATCCCTTCTCCAAGCTGGCCTGCGCTGCTGCTGTGGCGGTGCAACTTGGCGAGTGAACTCGGGCATTTAAAGGGACTGTGTCCCTTTACATGCCTTTTCCCCTCCACTGGAAACAATGGAGGATGGGGCACTTTCTTTGGTGGCCCATAGAATTGGATGCCCTGGCCCAATCTTTTTAAAACTTGGAAGGGTTTTTTTTTTTTTTTTGAGGAGAGGCACCAGCAGCTATGCTGCAAATTTGGTACCTCTACTTCAAAATCAGCCCCCCCCCGGGCCCCAGAAACCCCTGCATTAATTCTCCATTATAGCCTATGGGGAATGGTTCCCATAGGCTATAATGGAGCCAAATAAATTTCAGTTTCCCAATTATATCCCAAATTCCAATACCATACCAATATTGGGATTCGGGAATCTTGGGAAATACTGATTTTTTTGGGTTCAATATACCTAAACCTGAAAAATACCAATTTTTCTTTGCACACCCCTAATTATTTTTACAAAAAGATAATACTACAGTACATGAAAGAACATTATAATGAAAACACTTATTCCCCAAAATTAATAAACAAGTCTCATCTCTCTATACATTTATTAGCCTGTTAGTTTTGTTGACTTCTGTATGTTGAGTCACTTGTAAATAAAGGCTGATTATCAATTTTTTCTTGTTCAGCTCTTCTCACAGTCACCAGAATGGCACTCCCATAGATCTTGGCATGGGAGTGTGGGTAGCAATCTCTTTCCCCCATTTCATTGTGCCAGTACAAATTCCTCAGCCTTCCCCAATGCTACTATTCGCTCTGTGTGGGAACACACACATGTGACATATCAGTACCTATATATTCCAGGGTGGGAACTGGGAAATGGGGATTGGCAAAACAGCAGAGGGGAAAGGAATTGCCATCTGAATGATTATCCTACTCATTCAGCTGATATTTAAGCAAAACCAGGGCCCCCATGTTTAGTTTGGCTCTAAGAGTCTTCTTCATAAGGGCTTCAATTAGAGCCAAATCTGCTGCTTAACTAGTAACATAAGATTACACGAAGGCTGCAAAAATCTTATTGTTTTAAGAATGACTGCTCTTTAGAAAAGCAAACACACAACTTCAAGGGGGCTACCTAGTCATAAAACTACTGGAATACTTGAGACTACAGAAATTAAGAATCCAGATGAACATTCTTTCTGCTATTTATTATAATACAGATGACAAAGGAACAGGACTGAGGAAGCAGGTGTGCACCTTCTTATTAGACATACATAGCAGAAACATCAACCGCAGGTTTAAAAGTCAAAACACTGGGTGAACTACTCAAGTTTATTCGGTCCCTTGGCATCAACAGCCATTTCTTACCTTCTTGAGAACAGCAGCCTTATATAAATTTGCTGTCTTACTGAGCTGGAAAGCCTCATACTCCATTTCCACAACACATTTTAGAGGATCTGACCTGAAACATGCCCACAGTTTCATCAATTGTGTTAGGATGTATGTCTCCATCAGCAAGGGAAATACTTAAATCTCTAATTTTAAGAGTTATTACTATGTGATCAGCTGATGGCTGGCAGTTGGTGTGAGATGGGGGGCAGGGACATAAGGGTGCTGGCATCACATGTGGTGTGGTGTCACTTCCAGGGAAGACAGGAAGTAACATCACATCACTCTAGAAATGACTCCAGCAATTCCTAGAGTGATAGGACATCACATTATGCTGTGTACGATACCAGTGATTTCTTCCCCCGCCAGCCACTGCTCCAAGTGGCGGCAGGAAGAAAGAGTAGCGGCAGGACATTACCTGCCATAGCATGGGACCTGGTAACCCTAGATCAGGGCTCTAGTAGCAACAGTGTCATTTAGCCAGAGCTAATTTTTTGGTGACTGGAGACAGAACAGAAAGACAAAGGCCCAAGAACATCTTCACCACTGGCATAAGTTTTATGTGCTTCTACAGTACTAACCAAGGGAATAGGGTATAGTGCTTCATAAGCCTAACTTTGTACAGTAGGGGTGTGCAACCCCCCCCCTTTTGGTTCAGGTATACTGAACTGGGGGGAAAAAATTAAGTTTCCTGAAAAATCCCAGATCCCAATACCAGTGCTGTATTCAGATCCAGGATTTTAAGGAAATCCAGAATTTTTTCGGGTCCAATAGACCTGAGAAGAAAAAAATTGGGAAAAAATTGCACATCAGAAGCTATGCCTGCAGGCACAGCTGATCCTGGGCTGACTTCTTATGCAGCCCGGTTTAAGCTGGGCTGCAAGAGAAGCCAATGCCAAACCGAGGCAGTGTGGAGCTCTCAGAGCCTGCTGCCCCGGATGATCCTGGGTTGACTTCTTTTACAGCACAGTTTCCTCTAAGCTGCACTAAGAGGAGCTGGCACACAACATTTCAGAGGGCTGCTCAGAGGTTCAACTCACATTTTTTACCTTCCATAGGAAACAATGGAGGATAGGGGCACCTCCTTCTGGGCCCACAGAATTGGACCCCCGGTTCAATCTATTTGGTGAAAATTTGGTGCCTGTACCTCAAAAAACAGCCCCCCTCCAGAGCCCCAGATGCCCCCAAATCAATTCTCCATTATAGCCTATGGGGCTAATTGACTATAATGGTCCCCATAGGCTATAACTGAGCCAGAATCACCGATTTTTTTGCACAACCCTATTGTGCTTTTCAGTATGATTTGTAAGCTGCCTTGAGTCACAGGGAAAAGTAGGATATAAATATTTGAATAAATAAGTAGTTTGGGCAGGTTGATAACACATAAGCAACTTCCTGTTTGTTAGGTTAGGCAGGGTTTCGACAGTGATTGTTCCACCTCTGTTTTACTTTACCTGTAATGCTGGTTGTCATATTTCACTAAAAAAAACCCCAAAGTAGGTCTACCAATACAGTGGAAGGGGCAGGGAGACCTGTTCTCCAGAGGCCAGGTCTACCCCTGTAGAGGACAACAGTTTGTGTAATGCAATTTGACTTGATTCTGTTTTCTCATGTTTAAATTGTTCATAAAATATTCATAAAATGAGATTTTTACAAGGTTATGGAAGTATTCTAAAAATAATTTATGCAATAGTCAAATGTAGACTTGCTCACAACTTTAATGCGACCAATGTTCCCTCTAAGCTGTGGAGTCTTGAGAGCAAAAATGCTACTTTGTGAGCTACTGGCATTAAAGTTGTGAGAGAGTGATTTGGCTACTGTATAAATTAGTTTGCTCTGGAGCCATCCTTCCTGAGCTAAGACAAAATGCGTGGACTAGAGGCTAAATAACTGTGAGCTAGCTCACACTAACTTGGCTTAGAGGGAACACTGAATGCGACTAGCGTTTTTTGCTTATGAGGTAGAATTTTTGCTCACAACACTGTGGAGCTTAGAGGGAACATTGTTTGCAGCTTGATTTAAACTGAGCTGCAAGAGGAGCCATCCCCAGCCAAGGCAGCACAGAGCTCTCAGCTCTCGCGGCCCTGGCTGATCCTGGGCTGACTTCTCTTGCAGCTCGGTTTAAACAAACAGCTGTTTGCCAAGAACATCTTTGACACTGGCATAAGTTTTATCTGCATCTACAGTACCAACCAATGGAATATTGCATACTCAAGCGCTTCAGAAGCCTAAAGCAGCTGAGACATAGGAGTAATCTGCTCCTGCCTCTTGCTGTTTTCAGATCTACCGGTAATTCTGGAATATATCCTGGAGGTTTTTGTCATTTTCTGAGCACTGAACAGTGGTCACTAGGGGTGTGGGTGGGGCAGGTATTTGTGACTTTCCTGCACTGTGCAAGGAGTTGGACTAGATGATCCTGGAGGTCATCTTCCAACTCTATGATTCTATATTCGGGATCTTCTCAGGATTTCCCCCCAGGTTTCCTGAGAAGACCCGGATACATTTGGGATGCCAAAATATACCTGAAAAATACTGATAAGGTATTTTTCAGGTGTATTTTTGGCTCAGGTAGAGCCCAATGCACACCCCTATTATATTTATTTATTTGTTTATTTTGACTTATATCCCGCCTTGCCTGGCAAGCAGTATAGTACAGTATACTACTTCCCGCTAATGGAGACAAAAGAGAATTGCAGCTTCTGGAATCCAAGAAAAAAAAGGTGACAGGCTATAGCAAGCTTTCATGGGCCAATTATTATATATTTGCTTAATACAGCGTAAGTTACACCCTTGCACATAGAGTGTATGAAACAACCTAAGAATGGCTATTCATTTCAGTTCCAAAAAGCAGGACTTGATTCAAGGAATGTAAATAGAATGGAGGGTTAAGATCAGTGTTCCCTCTAAGCTGAGTTAGTGTGAGCTAGCTCACAGTTTTTTAGCCTCTGGCTCACACATTTTTGTCTCAGCTCAGGAAGGATGGCTCTAGAGCAAACTAATTTATGCAGTAGCCAAATCACTCGCTCACTACTTTAATGCCAGTAGCTCACAAAGTAGAATTTTTGCTCACAAGTCTCCATAGCTTAGAGGGAACATTGGTTAAGATGTGTGTGGATGTGAAGGATTTTCAGTGTTAATGTCAGCACCTTGAACTAGACCCTGAGGCATGCCAGCAGGCAAAGCAGCTGATGTAATACAACTTGGAACAGGTTCACATCTCCCATCATTACAAGAATATGATCCCACTGCCATCTGAACTAGCTGAAGCTTCTGAAGTATCTTCAGGTGCAGCCCCATGTATAGAACATTTTATTAGTTTAGTCTCTGGTGGGTGACAAAAGTATGGATGAACCTTTGAAAACCTCCCTCTCCCCAGAAAAAAGTGGAGTTTATGCAGCAGCTGATAAAAATTATTTTCAGTTACTGCAGCCACATGCTTATAAAAAAGCAGGAGCTGGCCAAACAAAAGCCCCTGATGTTGATTTATGCCAGTGAAGTACTCGTTACAAGCAATACCATCCCCTTTTAATTTCCTACCCGGTTTCTGTCAGTGGGGCTTGCAGATTGCTGTTCAGTGCTTCTTCTAACATCTTCAGGCAGTGCTCTCTAGCCTGAAATCAAACAAGAATCAGTAAAAGATGATTCTAGGCTGTAGTTATTAAAGAAGTAAAGGACCATTTCCAACATGCAGTGCTTAAGCAGTTCCTAGCAATTTCCCGAACATGAAATTGAGCCAACTTCAGAGGACGGCGGAAGACAGGAGGGCCTGGCGGGAGCTGGTTCATGGGGTCGCGAAGAGTCGGACTCGACTGTGCGACTGAACAACAACAACAACAAGCATTCCTAGTAGGCAGCATGGTAACCATGCTTACCTAACATTTTCTTAAGAGTAACTTGTTCCATTTGTTTGCTGATCAGACATGTTTTCTTTTTCTCTTCAACATGCAATGGTTATGAACCGCAGTCTTGGGCAATCATGCATAACAACTGGTTACTGCAGGTTCAGATCTGCACAAAACTGCAGGTGTCTAGAATGGTGGTGCCATCAACAAGTTAAGCTTTAGGAGAAATGACAATATAATCAGACCTTGAAAGGCTTTTCTGGAGTTTCAGAACCACCCCTTGAAGCTACATGACTACCTTTAGACTTTTCACATCTGGATTCTGAACTGTATTATAATATTTGATGTTCTCTCTGCATCCTTTCCAATTTATTAGAATTTCTAAAATTTGATAACTAAAGGACAATATACTCTAGTTATGCTGCTGTATCATACACCTTTGATGTTATTCTTCCCTTAACATATCATTACACTGTAATATTTAGGATAACACTTGAACCATTATAGCTGTGCAATTTTCTTGACAGTTATTTCTCCCTTTGAACACAATGGCACAATCAGCTGGAAGCGGAAAAGCAGACTTTTCCAAAGCCTGTTTTTCCAAATGCATAGCCTCTTCCTACCTTCACTGTGATTCTGGCTATTTTCCTGCTGGCTGCATCTTTCAAGGGACAATCAGCAGCTACCATGAAAAACACACAGAGAGATACGTAAAATATCCAAACTGTACTGTCAGTTCCCATTTCTTTTGCTTTTTTGGCATGGTGCACTACCTCTTGCTCCAGATGGGCAGTTTGACTTAGATTCTAGAGGATTCCAAGGTGATAGGATTTTTTTGTTATTTTCCTTTTAGGCATTAAAAGAATGAGTTGGGGAGGCATTAGATTTGCATAGGGTGCCCGCTGATTTTATACCTGGAAATCAATGTGAGGCTTGAGGAAGCACAGTGTGTGCCCTGCAATTTACATGGAAGAATTCTACAATTTAGCACCTTATGGTCAGTAAAATCAAGGACAAAACAATTAAATTATGAATAATGATTAAGTAAACAACTACAAAATAGCATGAATACTATTAGAATTAAAATACAAGTACATAAAAGCGTAAGTTTACTAAAATATTCAAGTGACATGGTATATACAATACAGAAATGTTGAGGTCTAATCATTGTTACCAAAACCAGAATTATTACGAATATGGCCTCTAAAGTCTTCAGGAAAATACAAATATAGGTACTGGAAACAGTGGCTTAAAAGATAAAAATTAGTTCATTATTAGGCCAATTTATTGGAGTTTAAAAACGGAAAATTTGGAGAATTAAGATCCCAGGTATACATGCTTATATCCATGCAAGTCTTATAAAGGACATAAATATTAATTAAATATATATATATATTCTGAAAGAACAGATTGCCTTCCTATTCCTGTGACCCAGGGAGGGAAGCAGGGGCTCAATCAGGTAAGTAGTAGAATCAAGGTATTAACTCATGCAGAGAACCTTAAGCATTTGGAAGGAAATAGACATTAAGTTGCAATAAACTTAGGGCTTCACAATTGTATGGCTAATGTTAATAATTATGCAAATTAACTGTAACTGTTTTGGCTGTAATAGGTTTCCATATGGAAAACTTGGTGCTGGTATCAGTGTTCCCTCTAAGCTGAGTTAGTATGAGCTAGCTTACAGTTTTTTAGCCTCTAGCTCACACATTTTTATCTTAGCTCAGGAAGAATGGCTCCAGAGCAAACGAATTTATGCAGTAGCCAAATCGCTCGCCAACTTTAATGCCAGTAGCTCACAACATAGAATTTTTGCTCACAAGACTCCACAGCTTAGAGGGAGCATTGGCTGGTATGTCACCCACAACTTTTCCTGCACGACAGACATGAATGTAAGCAGTCAGTGATCCACCCAGCAATTTCTAACAAAGTTAGATTTAAACCCAATTTGTTTGAGTAATAGACCTTATGCTTGATTACACTGGGCCTGACCAGTTCATATTAAAACAAAGCAAAAACAAAAGACTTCCTGTTCCCAAAGGCAAGTGCTGGCTATTTTTGCTATGAAAACGGCACAAGCAGGCTATATGTTATGATGGTAACCAGTGTTCCCTCTAAGCTGAGTCAGTGTGAGCTAGCTCACAGTTTTTTAGCCTCCGGCTCACACATTTTTGTCTTTGCTCAGGAAGGATGGCTCCAGAGCAAACTGATTTACGCAAGAGCCAAATCGCTTGCTCAGAACCCTAATGCCTGTAGCTCACAAAGTAGAATTTTTGCTCACAAGACTCCACAGCTTAGAGGGAGCTTTGATGGTAACTTTACTTAACTAGGATGCCTCAAAAGGAATCAGTTCTATGACCTTCCATTAAACCCTCATCTGTAATCTATGAAATAATGCAAAAATTACCTGGGGGGACAAAATTGTCTTTTTCAACTTCTTTACCCTGAAAGAAAATAAAACAAAGAAACATCACAAGCAACCTGAAAGACTGCCCAATCCCTTATGAACTCCGCTACAGACATCTTTAGGTGCCTTGCTTTAAGTGCCTCCCACCTTTGGAGATTAGGTCGGTGGCAACTCAGGAGAGGGCCTTCTCAGTCATGGCACCAAAGTTCTGGAATGTCCCCAGGGACATCTGCCCCCTTCTGTTGCTGTCTTCCACCAGTGGGTGAAGATTTTTTGTCTCATCTGGTGTTCCCTCAAATGACCCCTCCTTTCTAATCAACATTTTTATATTTTGTATGCAGGGCTTTTTTTGTAGAAAAATCCCAGCAGGAACTCATTAGTATAATAGGCCACACCCAATAGCAGGAACTCATTAGCATATTAGACCACACCCCTGACAGCACAGCTTACTAGCCTATTAGGCCACACCCCATGCCTTCCCTTGGCTTGCCCAGGCGCCCTGCGGCTGTGGGGAGCCTAGGCAAGCTCCCCTTTGAAGGGCAGGGAAGGGAAGGCAAGGCAGCTTAAACTGCCTTCCCTTGGCTTGCCCAGGCACCCCAATTAAATGCCTCCCCGATCCTTCCAGGGCCCCCTGGCCCGCCAACCTCAGAGTTGCTGGGTGGGTCACTCTCCAGGCCTTCTGTCTGTAGTCACGCACACAGAGGTTTTGGCTGGAGTGGGCGTGGCCAACTCTGAAGCCAGCCGGAACTCCGTTCCTGTGCCTTCCTACCCAAAAATAGCCCTGTTTGTATGTACTTAATAGTTCTGTATGTATTTTAACAGTTTTAAACTATTTTAAAAGTTATTTTAATAATGTATACTTTTATTATAATGGTTTTATAATGTAAGTTTATCATGTATCTTTTAAATTGTTAGTCACCTTGGCAGCCCTTGTAAGGGCAGAAAGGCAGGATATAAATTTTGTAAATAGATAAACCTTATGGAAAAGACCAGAAGGAACACATGATGCCAAGGTTTGAACCAGATTTTGAAATTTATGTTCAGAAGACTTCAAGCCCCCATATTTACTGAACAGTTTCTATTCTAAGCTAAAGATGGCTCTTTGCTAAGCAGGGTTAGGATTACTGCTTAACCTTTATAAAGGACCATTCTAAGTATTTCGGAGTTATAGTAATTTAAATCCCCAAAGCTTTCTTCTCTGTGTGAAGAGGACAGGCAAACACCATGATCTGTACAGATGGCTCTTGTCTCAGAAGACCACTTGAGTGAATGATATTCTCTTGGAAAATAGACTGTAGACAAAAAGAGGCACAAGCGGAAGAGGAAAACCCTGCAGCTTCCTTCCCTGGATACCTGGTAGTAAAACACTGTGGAAATTAAAGTGTGTGTGTGTGTGTGTGTGTGAAATCATGCTACAGAGAAAGCAAAGAACAAGGCCCAGGTTCAACAACACAAACAATGCTTTACAAGTTCTTTAGGACCTGCATGGTCATAGTACGGACTTGATAGTACGGACTCTCTCTAACACTCATACTCTTTCTTTCAATAAGGCCTCTACAATGTGTAGAAAGGTTATCAACTAACCTTGCGCAGCTTCATTTGTTGCTTATAAAAGTTATTCCATTCCTTTTTCTGATTCTCTTCATTGGCTTCATCCACACTCCTACTGTCTTCATCGTAACTGAGTAAAAACCAAAAAAGAATTGGCAACTGAACAGGAATGCTATGGACAAGGTTTGAAATCTTGAACTAATCTCAAAGAGTAGCAATGTAGCCACAATCTAGCATCTGCCTAGCTAAACTTTGTAGACTTTATCTGTTGGTCGAGGCTGTATGTGGCATGCTTGCTTATAGGGGGAGACTGTTTTTCCTTTAAACCACTCTCTGTGTATATAAACTTGGTAGTTTTCTGCTGCCAGCAGGAATCAGGAATTAAAAATTCAAATTCTCTCTCTGCTGGTAGTATGACCCAGGGTCTGGGCATTTCAGAGGACTATGTGGCCCTGAGGAAGGACTGTACTGATTTCTGGGATATGTTTAAACAAAAATTGATTTATTGAATAAAGAACAAAATAGGTTTCTGGTTATCTTGAACTGTTTCTGGAAAAAGGGACTTGTAAATATAACTGGTAAGGTGTCACACACAGTCTCTCAGACACCAAAATTCCACGCTGACAGGCTTCTCTCTCTCATATATGTAGCCATGCTGGCTAAGCTCTTTGTCTTAGGCACACAAGATAAAACATTTGTCTAACCACACAGTTTAGACACTACTTGTTTCTTTGCCATATAGACTCTGTCACAAAACCTTTAGAGTCACACAGACCCTCTTCATAGCTCTTCCACACTTCACTTTCCAAAGACCCATACACAGAACTCTGTCATAAAACACACACACAGATTCCTCTCAGAACATCTCCTCCCACACTCAGTCATCAGCCAATTAAATCACACTTGTCTCCCTCTATCACTCTTCTTACTACAGTCAAACAACATTTAAAGATACACACATACACACACCAAAACATGGAATCATTACACTGTAGTTGATTGTGACTTCAGAGGTGACCTTATTTATGGGGAAAGGAGCTCAGGATCTTTGTGCTTAAGTTTTAAGAAAATATTTGTCAGAAACATCAGCTGAATACTCAGTAAAAGGACTGAAGAAGAAGAAAAAATTATCAGCAGAATTTGCTCCTGACAAAGTCAGGTTGCCAAACACATACTTGCTGAAGCCACCGTAGCCTCTTCTTCCTCCTTCATATAACTCTATGTCTGATGAGTAAGCAGAGGATCCAATGCGGGTCCTGTTCCAGCTACTGGTACATTGCTCCAGTGCTTCAAGATGCTTTTTCACAGCTGCTGGGTTCTTACAATAATCACAGCATTTGTTGCACTGCGGGATGGCATCCCCAAAGTATTTGGCTATGGCAGCATGGCGACAGCTAAAAGACAAAAATAAAACCACTTTTGAGAAACAGTACTGGCAGACTCTTCTTTGTCTATGCAAAGTCTCTGGGATCCTTACCCTTACACCCCAGGAAATCACTTGATAAACCAGATTAAATGGCTATCTACAACTAACACAAACACATTCAATCACTGCCACAATTTACTGAGTTACAAACAGAGCAGTAGGACTCACATATCATGGGGAAGAGATCTAACTGTGGCATGGAGTTACAATTCTGTCAGCTGCCAATCTCTAGCCACCCACTTGACCTCAAGACTCTACAAACACTAACAGTCCCTCAGTACCTTGGCTGAAGAAGGCCACTGTAGTGTAGTGGCAACAGACTGACCATGGGGAGGGGCCCCAGGTTCAAGTCCTCACACAGTCATCATGAAACTCACTGGTGATTTTGGGACAGTCATTCTCTCTCAACCTATGCTACCTCAAAAGGTGACTAAAGGGATAAAAATGCAGAGAACAGTATTTGCCACCCCTAAACCCCATAAAGAAAGGATGGAATAGAAATAAATAAGTTATCAGGTGATGAGATAAGATAGACTGAAAATGCCCACTGCCATGAGAAACAGGTTTACCTTGACGACAGTTACGTTTATTAACAAAGTGCAGACATGGAACTGCAGCCTTTGGGTGGGGGGTGGGAAAGCAGAACTGTTGGGTTGGATCCTATGACTTTCTTCTGTTTAGTCTTCCTTCAATACAGAATGACTTTTTCTGATAAAGTCTCTCTGTGTTGGAGGAAGTCTTGGTGAAAAGCCATAAAGTCCAGCCCATTGGTTCCAGATTCTACCATGTTTCACAGCAAGCATGGCCTCTTTTATCGCCTCAGTGCCTTTCAACTAGTCCAGTCATTTGGGAGACAGAGGAAGTGAGTGTATCCTGCAACATGGTCACATGGGCTGCTTCCAGCTCCCTCCTCAGCCTTTCTAGCTTTTCCCTCCCACCATACTTTGCTTTCTGGGCAAACCCTCTTGCCTCTCTCTGCAGGTGAGGCAGAGTGGCCCTGAATTAGCAAAGGTGTGGGAGAGGCAGCTCTCCTCAGTAGTCCCCACCAGTCACAGAATGGGGGCAGTTTTATGTAAATGTGTTATCTGAGTGTAAGATGTAAGACAATCCCCCCCTTTAAAAGCCCCCCCCAAAGTAAAATATATCTTCTTGTATTCAAGTAAATATGGTAATACTTGCCCTAGCTCAGTGGTTTCACAAACTGTGGGTCAGGACACAAAAGTGAGTTGTAACACTCCCTGGCTGCAAGGCCAGGAAGGAAGAAGAGCATGATGAGCTGGAGCAGGTAGCTCTTGATCCACCTTTTCCCGGGGGGGAGCCCTGATGACATCAGAGGAGAGAGGTATAGCAACTTATGCTTGTGTCACCTCCCAAAACCACACCAATTGGTGGCGAAGCAGTACTCTGTGGGTGGCCACTGCCAGTGCAAGAGCTCAGCTTACTTCCAGCCAGCAGCAGCACAGGGGGCATCATCTCACAGGCATTAGCTGATGGCCTGAACCAAGCCCCAGTGGTGGTGCTAGGTACTCTCTCTCTCTCAACCCAACCCAACCCAACCTACCCTACAGTGTTCATGTGGGATAAAACAAACCAAACCAATTATGTAAGGAAGAACTGTAGGATAAAAATATGACAGAATGATCAGCCCTGGCCAGGTGTTGCTCAAGACAACTAGCCTACCTATATCCTTCCTTCTCTCCACTACAGGTCTTCAAGTGTAAGCAAAAGAAATGTCCTGCCTTTCCTTGGCTTTCCAATGAACCTTGCCTCCTGGTCCATCATCTATCCTGCAAAATCCTGATTGTTCAACAAGACACTGGGAACCACTTCACACATTACAGCTTTTATGTGTACGTTTGCGAGGCACTCCCTCACTCTGCCATGCTGGCTAAGGTCAGTTAGACTTCTCAATCAGCCTCAGAATGGGATGGAGAGGAGGCTATAACATCCTCCTTCCCTTGATTGGCTTTCTTGTCCTTTCTTCTGGGGTGCATATGCTCAGCCTGTTTCCTCCCACCTTGGTCTGGAAGCCTCCCTTTTATTTGACCCTGGGCCCTGGCTCCCCCTCCCCCTGGAATTGATAAAAGGAGATGGTCAATTAGCTGCTCCCTAGGCTGCTAATCTTCCATCTCCCTCCCCTTCTTCCTGTTGCTCAAGATGGGAAAATTCCCTTCCCTGTCTCTTAGCTGGGTGCAACCTGACTGCAGGCTTTTGTGGGGAGGGCTTCCTCACCTCCCTTCCTGCTGCTGCTGCTGCTAAGTTGACTGGGGCCCACACTGCTCTCCCCACTGTCACTGCCGTTGTTTCCCTACCTAGGTGCTCCAGGCTCCCCCCCCCATAGCATCTCACTGGGTGAGGGGGAGTCAAGTTGGGACCAAGGCCTAGACTTGGACAACACCTAACATTTAAAGTGTGCACCTAAAATATAATGGTTTGCATTCACATGTTTATAAACACAAGCATTGAACAACATGCTCATCAGGAAGATATGATTGGCTGTGGCTCCTAAGCAGATACACAGCAGTAAAATTGGGTTTGCCTCTATATGTACAAAATAGCCTTGAAATACAGCCTGCAATCTTGTTGACTGTTAACTTATGCAAGATTCTCCTTTATTTTATGATGGACAGGAGTATGATGGACAGGAGTATGATGGACAGGAGCAGTGGCGCAGGTGGTTAAACGCCTGCCAAAGTAACAACTAGAAACAGCCACTATGGCTGTTCGAGAATCCACCGCGGCAAGGGTGAGCGCCTGGCCCGACTCCCAGCTCCCGCCCACCCAGCGGCCCGAAAGCAATTAAATCAAGCGAGTAGGCAAATGGGTACCCACCCTTAGAAGGGTGGGGGGCACCCGCCTCCGTAACAAGGTGTGTGGTGGTCGCAGCAGCGAGTGGCGAGAACATCAATGGCGGCGGTGGCGGAGGAGCCTGGGACGGCGTGGTGCGGAGAAACATCGGAGGCGTGCGCCGAGAAGGCGGTCCCACCAAGGAAAGCAGCCGGACCAGCGGAAAAAAGATGCCAGAAAAACCGTTGAGAAGGAAGAAGCCGAGCCAGAGAGAGGACGCAGCGGACCCACCACAGGGTGCTGGTAGGAAATCCCCACCCCTACAGTATGTGGCCTTAGATAGGGTAATAACAGTTCATAGAACACCCCTGTAAATCGCCCAGAGACCCCTAGGGGTTAGGGCGGTATAATAAGTTGATTGAATAAATAAATAAATAAATAAATAAATAAATATATAGTTCAAATTTACTTCACAAGCAGGCTGTCCTTCAAGTCTGCCCTAGAACCAGGTTTTCTGGTTTCCTGTGGTCCTTTCTGCTGCATCTCGGGAAAGCTCTTCTGAAGACATGCTGAGCCACCCTTTTCCGGGGGTTCTGGAAGCTGGCAGACCCTACAGGGACCCTCGTAGGGGATTTCTGAAGTTTGGGGTGCCTTTTTGGGGGCGCTCCTCTCTTAGCAGCCAAAATTTATGGCTGCTAGCTATGTGCTCCGGAATTAACAGTGACTTTCAGATGAAACTTCATTCTGCCTGTAACTTCTTGGCTTTGAACTGTGAGTTATTGCCTAAGACAACCTCTTTCGACCTTTCTCTAATTGCGGTCCCAGTTGCATTGCTCAGAAGGATCTGGAGGAGAGGGGAAGTTTGGCAGATAACACCCCCCCCCAAAAGTGGCTCTTACACAAATTCTGAGTGTAGAGACGGAGCTATTTTAATTGGAATACTCTCTGGATATTAAGACACTCAGAAGAAGTGAGTAAACAGAAGAAGGATTGGTATTTGGAAGTTTTTGAACATTGCCCTACATTCATTTTATCAGGAATAAGCACTTTTCTCGGCTTTGAAGATTTCCCACATTGGCTATGGTGTTGGATTACAAATTAATTTTGCTGGATGGTTGAACATATTTCTAACAGTCCTTTTTTCTCTTTTACTTTTTTTGACTTATCTTAAATGGAAATGTGTGAGCTTGGATTATAAATGCAACTTTAAAAGAAGTCTTTGTTATATTTTGAAATGTTAGATGTTGTGTGATTAGTGGTATTTTTAATTGGAATATAGAAAGAGAAATGTTAGATACTGTGTGATTAAGTTTGGTTAAGTGGTATTTTTATTTGGAATATAGAAATAGAAATGATTAATCTGGTGTGCTTAAATATTGGGATATTTAAATTGGTCTTGTATTTTTGATGAAATGAGTAGACAAACAAAGAAATATACTCCCCCATCTTCGGCTGCTTCATCACCAACACAGTCTAAAGGAGTGGGAAGTATGTTAGTGTAAGAAACATTGATTGACATACTAAATAATTTGACATCTATGTTCCAGTCAGGTATGGGACAAATACAGAATGCTTTGACTCAAGTGACAGAGCAAATAAAAAATTTGAACACAGAAGTCTTGGAATTGAAGGGGGAAATGAATGACTTTCAAACTCAATTAGCAAAAAGTAAGCGTGAGACCCAAGAAATGGCTCAACAAATTAAAATAGTGGATACAAAAGCTGAAATGGCAACACAAAGGCTAGACAAGGTAGATATTCAACAAAAAGCTCCCTGGGATTCTTTAGTTAAACTGGAAATGGAAAGAGCTGCATACATGCTGAGATTCCAGAATGTTCCTGAGCAAAAAGGAGAAGATTTGACAACAGTGGTTGCAGAAGCCTTGGAAGAATTTTTGGAAGAGGAATTTGAGGAGATTGCAAGGGAAATTGATCTGATATATAGAGTCAATTCAACTTAAGCAATAAATAATTTGCTAAGGGAGGTTCACGTAAAATGTACAAAGCGTTCAGTCAGAGACCATATTTTGAGAGCAACCTGGGATAAGACATTTAAAATTAAAGGCACAGAGATAAGAATTTTGAAGGAAATCCCGTGGAAGATGAGACAGAAAAGGAAGGAGTATACACTTCTGACTACTAAACTTACAGTGAATTCGATTTCTTTCCGATGGCTAGTGCCAGAAGGGATCCTTTTCACATTTGAAGGACAGAAATTCAAGATTGACTCAACCCTTAAAGTTAAAGATTTTATGGAACAACATGGGAGGAAACTGAATGGAGGAGAGATGAAAGAAATGAAGGTGAAGAGTGGCGTATCAACAGAAAAAGAAGCAGATGGCTCGACACAGGATTACTAAACAGCATCAGATGAAGAACCAGAACTTGAACCTGCAGAGAAACTGAATCTGGAATCGAAATCTCAAAGGAAGACAAGAAGAAATAAAGAAAGTAGTAATAAAGGACATCCATAATGAATGAAACAGTAATAAAAATATTTTCAACCAACGTCAACTGTTTAAATTCACCAGAGAAGGAAAATTTTTTACGCAACTTAAGAAATTAAATGTTGATGTTACCTGTTTACACGAAACACATTTGGTTTCTTCATCTTTACGTTCTTCCAGCTGCCCTAGCTGACGTCTCAAAAATTCCTTAGCTTTGAAGATGGAGTCAATCTTCTCTCTTTTATCGTTGACTTTAAAGATGACACCTTCAGGAATTGCCCACCGATACTGAATTCCAATGGTTTGAAGAAATGAGATCAATTCCTTGTAACTTTCCCTCTTTTGAATTTCAAATCGGATATCTTTTAAAGTCTTAATGATTGTA